ATTAAAACAAGCTGTAAAATCATGTCATATAAAAGTAGATAGCAATGTAAGACACTACAGAGTGATAGATGAGTGGAACCAACTACCATCTTCACTGCTGGAATGTAGGACAGTCGATGAGTTCACGATGCAACTAGATGGGATCTGGATCAGCCTCTGTTCAGAGTTTTCTTAGGGTGCCTACCATTGACAGTAGGTGTTCATTGCAGCATGATTTCGAATAACCTCCATTCGCAGATACGGACCCGGAAAGAGATGCTGTTCTGGTGGAAGAAATCGGCTCTGGTCAAGCAGTCGACAGGTTTAGTTTAGTTTGCACGGGACGACGTGTGGCCCGGGCCAGTCTTGCGTCCAGATTGATGTGTTGTTGGCTGTTCTTATGGCTTTCAACACTGCGAGTCAATAGGTGTAAGATGCTTGGCTCGGGTATGCCGCAGGATGTCCCCCGTAAACGAATACACCAGACAACCGCAAGTGGGCCGAGTCTAGATGTGGGCTGGAACCGTCGACAGACAGGAGGTTCTCCGTGAAGAGGGTGAACTGACAATCTGCAAGAGAGGAAAATACAGACGCCATGAACCAAGTGGTCCAGTGAGACATGAACACGACTCACACTCAAACGGAATGGCAAGTTGCCAAGGTCGTTACATAGGTTCGAAGCTGTAGGATAATGTGGTTCCAACTGAATCCATAATCTAGACGCTAGGTTGGCGAAAACCTTTACCGTCCGGTGCAACCTAGCCTGACATGACCCGCGTTGTCAAGTCCTATCGTTTAAGTTTGTCTCACGGCCAAGAGCGGTACTTTTAAGCGTGTTCGCCGTGCACGATGGTGAATATTCCTAAGTCTCGTCGTACTTTCTGTGCCAGCTCTAAATGCAAAAAACATACTCTACACAAGGTGACGCAGTACAAGGCTGGGAAAGCGAGCTTGTATGCGCAGGGAAAGCGGCGTTACGATCGGAAACAGTCAGGTACGGAAGTTCACTGAGGATTCATCTTCTCCTCTCAGGTTATGGTGGTCAGACAAAGCCTATCCTACGAAAAAAGGCTAAGACCACGAAGAAGATCGTACTTCGTATGGAATGTTCCGTTTGCAAGTATAAAAAACAGTTGCCGATCAAGCGATGCAAACATTTCGAGCTTGGTGGTGATAAGAAGAAGAAGGGACAAATGATCCAATTCTAATTTGTACAGTTTGGAGAAATATACTGAACGGATATTATTCTGGTATTTCTGTTGTGATCTGGTTTGACGGCGGACGTGAGTTTTCATCAATCCCGTGGTTTCTTTGATAGAGAGAGATCGGTATAGGCACTGGCGACAGACGTCGGTGTAAGTTTTAATTGACTGTCTCAACGTATTAGCCCTCAACTCCAGGTGGTTTCGGAAATAATTTTTGAGAAGTCGCTTAATGCCTAACGTTGTTGTTTACTTCCGCCAAGCCTTAGGTTCATCTGTATAATGAGTTTATTCTACCTAGGTTGATTATGTCGAATGTTTAGATGGTTTAGATGTGCACGGCTCTCCCGGAATATGTCCTTAATGAAGCTCCACTATCGCGGTTCATGTCATCGATCTCGCAAACCGTGCAGTTCTGTCCAGAACGTTGCACAGTGGAACTTAATGGTTATTGTAGGTTCCTTATCGACGTTTCATTGCTTGATCGTAGGTTATTCTCTTGAGTGCGTGCCATTTTACATCGCTTCATTTGAGAAATGTGATATGCTTGTCGCTATCGATTCCTTAAGCCAATCTTTCGTTGCTGTCACATGCATGTTTTGTTTATTGGGTGTCGATTAAAACAGGTTAGGTGACTTGTCAATAAATCTTTCGTTTTCCGGGACGTGCCTATGGACCGTAGTTTATTTCGGACGAGCAGCCTGATGATTGAAGGGTGCATTGAGCGTTTAGTCCCCCGCAGCCCGAGAACGAACGCGTGCGTTAGAAAGGTTGATCACTTCTGTGCCACGAGGGATTCTGTACTTATGCCTCGGGTCAAGTGAGGGTGTTGAACGAACTAAGCGAGTCATTTGTCACTAGCAGCGATGCCCTTTTCGTCATCCGTGCACCTAATTTTTAGTCGAAGGCACTAAGTGGTCTCCCAAATGTGGGTATTGAAGGTAGCAGGATAACAGCTGTACTGAGTAGCATAGTTGCGTCATCTGTCTGTTCGAATTGGTGGGGACATGCTAAGTGCATTTGATAGATTAATATCTGCTGTTATGCCGTTCGGCCTGCGCATGGCACCTTTCGAATGCATAACGATACAGCGGGGCTGGGTGTCCTCTAGTCTCGCTTGAAAACTTGGTGACCAGGAATTAGGCGGCTGCGGGATTAATTAAAGTACAGCAAAGGACAAAGCTACGCCCGGTTCTAAGGCTCAAGCTGTGTGCAGAAATGAAACTTGTGACCTGGACCGAATGTTTCACGAGTTGAGAGGGCCTGTATGTTGTGCGTTGAGACCTTGAATTCGTGGCTCAAAGATATCCATTGACTAGAAGTTTTTGACTGTCCATGCCTACGTAGTTTGGCCTACGTATGACGGAGCTAACAGGTTGGAAATTCGGAGACCTACGATTTGTGCCACCATCGTACAGCGAAGTAAATCATGTGTCTGATCGTTTGTCATGGATACATTTTCTAGCGCATCGATTTCAGAATAATAAATTTCGTTGATTAGGTTACCTGTTGCGCACGCCCTGGTGTGGTCAACCGCACCGCACCTTCGCTATAGTTGTTCTGGGTTGAAGGAACCACGTGGGTCAATAGGTGACGCAAGGAAGAGACATGAAGTGATGCACGAAGCTGTTAGGTAGATTAGGTATCTCGGCTTCTAGGTTAAGGTCCAAAGGAATGAAAATTATGGCAATTAACCGACAGCAGCAGTATCCTTGTAATTTCTAATTACGCCAAACTGCTTGAAAACATGGGTGTATTCCGATTGTGTACTGTGTATCGTCGGAGGTGGGAGTCTCCGGTTGTGACTGGTCGCCCTTGGCTTTCAACTCGCGAAATGCTCCTATCCGACCACGCACCTCAAATAGCCTCTGGTTAGGAAGCCCTACATACTGGCTTCCCGTGGTGGAGGTTTTGTCCCACTAAAGTGAGGCGGCGAAAAGTCATCACCCAGGACTTTAACCGGGTAGGTGAACCACTCCTAAGGGAGTTGGCTAAAAATCCGCATTCTGAATCAACCAAGAAGAGGTGTGCAAACCACATCGTGTTTGTGGTAATGGTTTCTGTCTCTATCAGGCATTGAGGTGTAACAGGCACCTTGCATTTTTGACCCCGTCTCAAGGGTGTGATCCGGTGAATTGAACTCCGGCCTCCAATGGAAATCGGTTTTCACACCGCCCCGCTGCCTTGCGGGTCAGGCTTTGATTCACCGAAGGTTAGGGTTGTGAACTTGAGAAAATTCACCTGCTTTGGTTTGGAGAACCGAGCAGTATCGTACCCTCAAGCAAATCATGGGGCTTTTCATAAAGATCATTCAACCGTGATTTGTTCGACACGGTTTGAACTCAGGCGCGAGTAAAAATAAAAAAAACACTGGGTGTTGACCATCGATGTTCGCTTTCTTTCCCCCTTAGTGGTTCATCTCAGTCCAGTTTTATAGCCATCAACCATGCACTTTCTTGCACCGCTTTTGGTTGCTATCTCACGACTAACTGTTTGGATGAAAGGGTAAAGGGAAGACTGGGATGTTCGAATCAATGCCGAGGTGAAAATGGAGAATTCGTGAGGACGAGGGTTTCAAAGGAATCGCGAGGATGCACGAGAGATACCGTTAAAGACAGCCATAATACACAGGGCAACCTGGCAGTACTCAGCCCACAAGCCAATCATGGAACATTTTTCTTTTATAAAGATTATTGGCACACAGCCTGTCCTTAGACAAGTGTGAAATATATATATATATATATATATATATATATATATATATATAATACACAGGGCATCTGACTACCGGTTACCACAATCTCGGGGTTCTCAGCCAGAAGGCTTAACGGGACCTATGCAACCGAGTTTCCTGTTTGGTGTTTTCCTACCCTCATACCAGGCCACAATTTGACCACCCGTAACCCTTTTCCATCCGCTGTCGTGGTAGCCTATTTAATGACAAGTACAACACATCTCTCAACCACTTGTTCCAATGGAAGACCGCGATTTCCTAAACCTCTGCGCCTGACATCGTTGCTTGTCCGGTTTACCCACCAGACTCTTGCAATGCGGCGTAGACCGCGGTGTTCGAACACAGACAGTCTTTTCATTCTGTTCCCTTGATGGCCATTTCTGAACAGAACGGACACTGCTGCAGCATATACTCCACCCTTTACAGACAATCGGATGTCACGACGATGCCACAGATGTCTAAAGTTGGCAAAAGTCAACCGAATCTTCTGTATGATAGCAGACACTTCGTCTGTGATGCGTCCGCCAGGTGAGATATAGCTGCCCAAATAGCAAAACTTGTGTACTTCATCTACTACTTCCCCAGTCAAGGTGAGGTTGGGGGCTGGTCCAACCCAATCTTGTAACAACATTTTACACTGAAGGTGCAAAACGCATACCGAAAACGGCTACACTAGCACTCAAACTATCTAGAAAAGCTTGCAACGCAACTGGATCTCCACTTAGTAGCAATGTCGTCTGCATACTCTAGATCAGACAACCTGCCACCTAGGAGTAAACCAATACCGCTATCCTCGCAGGAGGATAAGGTTGTTTCAAGAACTAAATCTGTGACAAAGTTGAATACAAAGGGAGAGGAAGCAACCCTGTCGAACACCAGCTTCTGTGATGGCCGTAAGCTCGGACTCGGCTTCGGCTATTAATACAAAAGTATCGTAATATTGAAATAAACCTCTCGGATGCACCCTTTACAGCGGAACAGCGCCAGAGTTTAGAGCGGTTGACTGAGTAGAATGCCGCTTTCAAATCGAGGAAAATAGAATTGGTAGGTCTACGAAAGAAGTATCTGTCCTAGAATTGGAGGAAGAGTGAAGATGTCTATACAACCTGGCCCAGGTCTAAAACCAGCCTGGTTGTCACGCGTGCACCGTTCACATGCGACAGACAATCGACGGAGTATGATGCCGGCGAGAAGATTAGAAACGAAGTCGATTAAACTAATTTATCTGGTTTTCCCAAGAGGATCTGTCATGTTTCTTGCACATCGGTATGATGACAGATTCACACCTCTCCGTTGGAATCTCTTACCTCCTTAACTGAGCCCAATAGTTTCGTTAACTCCAAAACCAAGGTTGAACCTCCATCCTTAAAAACCGAGGAGGAAACCCTGCGGCACCGAAAGTCTTACACCTGTTAACAAAGTATTGAAAATCGGTTCTCGTAGCTCGGATGAAGTGAATTCTACTTCGTCTGTTCGCTGAGGTTTTCAATTTGTTTGCAAACGTTGCGTAACCAGCCGAGGCGACATCATCAATGCTTGTGAAGTGGTAGCGTTCTGCTTGTACCCGTTCGTTTATATCTGTGTTCTCTACCGACTATTTTGTCCCTTGCTCTCGCTGCGTTCAACCCAGTTCGCCGTTAAACTGGTGCAGAACAGTGCCACTTCACAAGCACTGATGATGTCACCTCGGCTGATGAGGAAGCGTTTGCAAACCAATTGCCAAGCAGGCAAACAGGTGAAATAGAAGCCTTATACCTCTTGAGAGAATTTATTTCTCGAGTAACCTCTTTCAGATGGAGGTCTGATGTCAAATAGCAGTATTCGCACAGTTTAAGCGCGTAGGGGGAGGTCTTGTGTTGACGGCGGCCATCTGAAGTGTACCTTAAAATGTTCTATCCGACGTTCCAGACGGCGTTGCTGAATATGAATCAGTGTGTCGTCAGATTCCTTAATTACCTCACGACTACTTTCCTTGGACCTGTACTCCTAGATAAACGAAAAAGATTGCGACCATTGCCGATAGTCTCAGCCTTCTCCATCTCTCTACACTTTCCTACCCACAACTTCTCGCGGTCGTTCCTCAGACTCTTGAAGAGCTGGTGTTTAGGGGATTTGCTCGCTTTGTCGTATTTTGAATCCGAAGGAATGGCTTTCCGAGGTCGGGGAGATTCATCGTTTTTGATTTGATCATGAGTCTGCGGTTGTTTTGATCGCTTCCTTGATTTTCGACCAGTGTTCAGTGAGCAATCTGGCTGATAGTTCTGCTTTAAAG